GTAGTTATTCAAAATTCAAAATTTGGGGGCCCCCCTGCCCCCCCAGGGGGCTCAGATTTTTGGGGTCTATGTCTGAATCGAATGTCTATAGGGTAGAGATGAATCCCTGAAATTTTCATGCTTTCTTCCAGAAGTGCACGATTCTTATGATATTTTCCACTTATCGGCCCCACTATCAGAGTATATATCTCGGTATCATCCGGAAGAGCGATGACGTCCGAAGATGCCATTGCGATGATCTGCAATGCTCCAAGGTAGATACTCTGAGGTCGCCGAAATGCACGCGCGAGCTTGCGCTCCGAAAGTGATGGCTTTCGGGCTGAAGGAGCTAGAAAGCATAATAGAATGCGGCCCTAGAAACGTAAGTGATATGGCCTCGTTCTATTACAATTCAATCATTGTCAAGCATAAGCAAGTATTTTAAACATATTTGAATGTTCAAAAATGACCATAATGACCAGAAATTACCATAAATGTGCAGCGTTGACGCGAGAATGACCTACAGACTTCTGTAATGATATCGTCATTGAGCTTTTTCGGCAACGGGAGTTTTCTGGCCTTCTCTGATGATGTTATCGACAAATTTGAAAAGGAAAAATACTGTGTCCAAAAATGGTTGAAAAGTTAACACTGAGAGTAGATTAAAGAAGAAAAAAATACTGAGGTATTTGGGCCCCTGGACGCGGGCAAAGTGGGTTTGTGCGGTAAAATAGGTATGTAAATATGCGGTGAAGAACTCCCATTTTAGCTAGATCAAAAAATCACCTATTTGAATATAGCGAAAAATAGCACAAACTTGTATCTAAAATTAGTCAGAGACAGGAATCCTTTTTGAATCCAAGTGGTATCAAACTGAAGGAATAGATATAAATATATTTAAATATACCTACTGGTCACAATTGTTTTAATGATATTCTAACGTCTCACGTTTTGCTACTTTTCGAAAGATCAATTTTTTTATCCCAGAAATATATCAAAGGAAAAAGTACCTATGAACTATTTCCGTAAAAAGTTGATTGGTTTTAATTTAAAATCCTGTGCCCTGTCTTGGAGAGTTTTTCATCCCCTAAGAATCTTTTTCAGTTTCATCCGATGCAAAACTACCGACAGGACCTCAGGTAAAAAGCGAGACAATACAAATCGGAGGGGGGTACGGGACGGACTCAGGCCCCAACTGCACGCGATCGGGAGCATGCAGTTCGAGTTCGGATAGCAGAATCGTAAGAGAGGGTCAATGAGGGTCCAACCGATGACAGCTGTGCTCTTGATCCAGTGCTACCAGCATTCTACTTTCATTCTACCGCTTAAATACCGTGACTGTGACGAATTTAATGAGCTGGCTCCTTCTCCTGAGTAGAACCCTTTGCTACAAGGGTGGGGACACCGTGATGAGCCAGAAAATACTTTGGCGCCTCCTCGGGGGAGGGGTTCGGGGGGACTGGCGACATGAAACCATCCTTTTCAAAATCGACCATGTATTTCCGGTATTTTTCCGCCAATTTCGGATTTGACTCGAAACGCCTTTCTAAGGAGAGCATACGTTTGCGAGCTAAATCAAGAGAGGAACCGAGGGCAGGGGGATCAGGGCGAAAGGGCAAATTGACTTCATAGCGACCATCGGGAAGCTGAACAGTGGTTTCAGAATAAATTTTCTCGGCCAGCCTTTCTTCTGGCGTAGACTTAACGGGAGGGGGAACTTCCTCTAAACGCCAGAATTTCTCAATGACGTCAGGCTGAGGAGTGTGCGCGTGTACAGGGAGCGCGGTCAACAACGTAACAGGGGGTGTCGGAGGGAGTTGAGTCACCAGGCATGAGGTGGAACCAACTAAAACGAGTCCAAAAACGGTCCCTAGGCCCATGAGGCCATCACGAGCAGGGACATTATCACCAGTGAGAATTTTTGCGAGCAAATCTACACCGCATAAAATATCTATCTCTGAAGGGCGATCTAATTCTGGGTCAGCTAAAGTATAATCGCGGAAAATTTTCTGAAAATCAGGTGAGAGGGGGACGGCGGGAACCGAACCGGTAAGTCTATCCATGACAGTTACAGGGTGATTATAAACTACCATGCGACCATTGGGAATGCCAACGTCAACTTTCGCCGTGCCTGCTACAGGAATGGGCGTGTTCGCTATACCGTTGATAGCATTTAAGCAGGGCTTCGGCGTGATTTTCAGGGTACGTGCAAGGCGAGACGTAATTAGGGTACCTGAAGATCCCGAATCTAAAAGCATTTTGGCATACACTTTCTGTCCGCTTAAACTAGTAAGAAAAACCTTAGCGGTTGGCATTACTGCTGCTAAAGGGCGATATTTGGCAACAAGGGCGGTATGAAGAGAAGTGTTGGGCTCAGGGTTTTTCAAAGTAGGACAAAGCATACTATGATGACGTCCCTTAGCGCCATTGCACTCTTTACATTCACGTTTAGAAGTACATTTATCAGACCAATGATTTCTACCCAGGCAGTTTCTACAGAGTTGCCTGCTTTGCACAGCTTCCCAGCGCTCGGGCTGAGTCAGGGCCTTAAAAGTAGGACAGTTAAATGTATTGTGAGATGGCTCATCTTCACAATAACGACATTCGCGAGAAGTTTTCGGTTTTTCAGATGAAGAACTACTGTCGGAAGCTTGGCTGTTCGAAGGGTTCTTTTTAGGGGAATTTTGTGCTGCTAGTACCTTGGTATTGCGGCCGGCATTAGAATTAGAGGAGGGCGACGAGTTGGAACTGCCTGTGAAAGGGTTATCAACGATTCTGGCACACTCTGACTTAATAAATGATAACAATTCATTGAGCGTTGGATACTCAGATGCATCTTCTCTAAAGTCATCAAATCTGCCGCGCAGGTTATCAGAAAATTTCCTCCAAATTACCGTAACAAGCATCGCTGAATAAGTCTCTGAGGGATGATTGAGGGAGGAGAGAGCATTCATATGCTCTTGAATCTTAGCGTAGAAATTAGACAAACTATTCTTGTGCTTAATTTCAGGGAGTTCCAACAAGCCGTTAAAATGTGAAAACAAATGACGACGTTTACTCTGATACCTGGTACAAATCATGTCCCATGCACCCTCATAGTTCTCTGCAGTTAGCTCTAATGTCTTAATTAAATCTAATGGCTCTTTAGATAGGGCGTTTAACAAATATTGAAATTTCTCAACGTCACTCAACTTTGACTCATGAATAGCAACTTTGAACCGACTATGGAACGTGGTCCATTGAGAAAGGGTTCCATCAAATGTAGGCAGAGATAAGCGAGGCAGGGTGACATGAGCTTTAACATAAGGGCTTTGCACGGTAGAGGGCGAAGGCGAATTAACACAGGGAGACGAGGGCGGTGTAACGTTCACAATCTGGGACGCATTTTTCAAACCGAAATATTTGACTGAAATGGTATCTAACATGTCCTCAAACTGCGCTTGAGTGATATCTACCTCTAACTGTTTCTCAGGGGGAAGAGTGGCGTTCAGCTCAATAATCTCTGTTTGGGTTGCATTGAAATTACTCTCAATCTGCAGTACTCTATTCCAAGTTCCTTCAAAGGAGAACCAATTTCTAGAATTAAGGGCTTGTGCGCCCAGAAGGGAACGTTGCAACATATCATAGTACCTATTGCGTTTGGCGTATAGGGCTGTGAATTCTACAGGGACTTGAACAGCTCTGGAAGCAGTTTGGCGCATGGAGCGCTTGGTGGGCTGCTTGCCAGGGTTCTCTCCATTCACCTGATCATTAATTCATTATCTGAACCCTTACGTGAGTCACTATCCTCGTTGTGTAGACTCATAATGGTGAGGTGATAAGAATAATATGCACAGGGGGAAAAACACTGGTATATATAACCTCACTTTTGACTGAAATTGCAGCTCTTATCTGTCTCACTAAGGAGTAGCCAGAAAGAGAAAATAGGTTGCTTGAGGTACAAATTGGGCTCAAATCAGTGAGCAATAACTTGAAAATGTAATTAAATCAATTCATGAAAGAAAATGACTTCATAAGCAGCAAGGCACCCAGGAAGGGAGCCCGACCGACGGACACTGGCACACAATGGCTGAAGTTCAAAATGGCCTAAATCATGTGTTTCTTC